TTGTTTAAAAGGTTGCATAAAAAATAAAGAAAGAAAGGTTAAAATTAAAAAACTCTGATTTCTTAAACAAGCTACTTTTTTAATAAAGGTTTTGGGTTTCAAATCTAAAAGTATAATTGGTTTTATTCTGTTTTTTAAAAACTAAATTATTTTCCATTTTAATTGAGAAATCACAAGAAGGTTTTAGGTTCAAAACAAGTGACGAATGTTCGTGAACACATTGCCATCCCTCCCTCATCCGACACAATCAATTCCGCAACTATACGAGAGTGGACCAACGGAACCCATAAAACCTGTTATTACTTTCTTAGACAATTCTTCTAAGAGAGGGTATACTTCACTAATAAGGGATGAACTCCACTAACAAGGGGTGTACTCTATAATCAAGGGGTGTACTCTAATAACAAGATGTGTACTCTACTTACAAAAGGCGGACTCTACTTACAAAGGATGTACTCTACTAACAAGGGCTGTACTATAGTAACAAAGGGTGTACTTTACTAACAAGGGGTGTACTCTATACTAACAAGGGATGTTATCTATAACAAGGGTTGTTATCTACTAACAAGGGATGTTATTTACTATTTACTTACAAGAGGTGTAATCTACAAACAACTAACAAAGGGATACTCTACCAACAAGGGATGTACTCTACTAACAAGGGGTGTAATCTACTAACAAGGGGTACTCTACTAAAAAGGTGTGTACTCTACTAACAAGAGGGTATTCTACGAACAAGGGTTATTTTACTGACAAAGGATGTAATTTACTAACAAAGAATGTAATCTACTAACAAGGGGTGTACTGTAGTAACAGGGGGTGTAATCTACTAAAGGGGGGACTCTGACAACAAGGAATGTTATCTACGTACTATACTATACGTTATGTACTATACTAACACGGGTATGTACTCTACTAGCAAGGGCAATTATTCTACTAACAAGGGTATGTACTATGTACTCTACTAACAAGGGGGTTCTCTACATTCAAGGTACTCTACTAACTAAGGTATGTACTCTACTAACAAAGTGGTTCTCTACCTTCAAGGTATTCTACTAACAAGGGTATGTACTCTACTAACAAGGTGGTTCTCTACCTTCAAGGTATTCTACTAACAAGGGTATGAACTCTAATAACAAGGTGGTTCTCTACCTTCAAGGTATTCTACTAACAAGGGTATGTACTCTACTAACAAGGGGGTTCTATACCTTCAAGGTACTCTACTAACAAGGGTATGAACTCTACTAACAAGGGGGTTCTCTACCTTCAAGGTATTCTACTAACTAGGGAATGTACTCTACATTCAAAGGATGAAATATGAAAAAAAAGTTTCTGGGAAAAGTTTACGTCATGATGAAAAAACTTTTATTCTTATTTTATTTAGATGTTTTACAACGAATGCTTTCAACTATTTTCAATAAATTACCTTCTCCCCTCCATTAATTTAGAAATAAAAAAGAAATGTTTTGGTTGGAAAAAATGTCAAAGGTTAATCTTATTTCTGAAGAACTATCGATATATAAAAGCATAACAATTCTAATAAGCAACTATACAAGTTTTCTCTCACTCAGAAATCAGATACTATATCATAAAATAAATAAAAAACTATAGATCTACAAGTTCCCAAAGTTGTGCCAATGTTGAATAAATTTGACCATCTCCTTCTGTCCAGTAGAGTGCATTTCTTCACTGGCAATTAAAAGCAAAAGGCGTTAGAAGGTTGCAAAGGTAAACACGCCTTCCTGATTTTGAAAGCGCTATTGTTGGATAATGTGAAGATATAAAAGCGTTTTTTTAACAAAGTCTTAAAATGTTTCTAAGATTTAATTTTTCATTCAATTGGTGAATTATTTTCCAAAAGGTTTACAAGAAAACTGTTGGAAAGAATCTAAATGGCCTTCTGTAAGAAATTAATTTGAGTAAGCCTGCCAACGTTGATTCCTCTGTCTAGCTTTTCTAATTACGTTGTTATTTATTGTTTTTCTTCACAATCATTTTTATTATGGGCTTGTTTAAACCCTACCATGGTCGGGTCATTTTTGTATGATATGCTTTAGAATTGGGAGGAGGGCGGGGGGTATTATTTTAGATAACTTTTTCATTTTAGATATTTAACTTACATGCTTATGGTGCAACCTTGATAGATAAGTTTCCAAAAATTCGACGGAAAAATAGGATATTTTTTTATTTTCACAAAAATAGACATGTGCCACTCGAGTTAACCCTTTTAAAGTAATTATTAGACCTGTAGTTCAAATAATAAACAAGTATGGAGTATTTTTGATTTTTTGAAACGCCGACCGGGCTTTTAAATGTATGTTCTCTACCCGCCTTAAATTATGAACTTGAAAAGAGTTGAAGAAGTTTGAGCACTCTATTGCAGGAGCCGATTTGAAACTACAAGGATGGGTATAATCTTAAGATATGTGTGAACTGTAAAACAAGCACTATCACTATAGATTCATGAAATCCGTCCAAAATTACCAAAACATTAAAATTTTAATTATATATTATAATATAATGGGACTTATATAATTTATAAGTATAACAAATAAGTTTTATCTTTTCTTATTGTCGATATTTGATAAGAATGGAGAACAAAACTATCTATCATTTTGATATAGATAGCGAAAACCTCTGAAAGCAATGATTTTAATTGTGATTTCAAGTGACCCTCCATACAAAGATGGCAACACCCAATTCACAACGGGATCCTTGAAACCTTTATTTGATCAATAATGTGGAAGATATTTTCGTTTTTCTGATAATTCATATATAAGTTTTCCTGAAGTTTTCATGTGGAAGTCACCTTTGTAGACACCCACAAGTGAAAATAGACAGTTTTCAAAGTTATAAACATTGATATCTAATTAATACTTAATCAGATAAATTTAAATTTTAGACTTTAAGAAAAACTGCGAACACTCCCTTTAAGAAAATTGCGAACACTTCCTTTAAGAAAACTGCGAACACTCCCTTTAAGAAAACTGCACACCGCCTGGGTAAATGCTAAGAATTCTACCCTTTTCAATTCTATTTACTAGATCTAGATCTAGATGTAGTATAGACAATAAATCATCTAAAAAATCATCATTTCTTCATATTCTTAACTAAACAGAAGAGAAGTTTCTAAGTTTAACATAATCTGTAGAGAATTGAAGAAAATCCATTAAATTCATAAAAGGATCTCATTCGTTTCTATTCATAACGGATTAGAAATATATTTATATTGACAAAACAATTGTTAACTATGAAATAGGTAATTTTACTTTAAATTTATATGTTAAATATTATGATTACATGGTTTTAAGGACGCCAGTCAGAACCTTTTTTTGCTTTTAATTATTTCTTTAAGCATAAAAAACAAACAATTAAGATTCACTTTCACGGATTTCACAAATTTTTCAAACAATTTAAAAATCAAAATTCTTTATTCGACTATAAACCTTTCATTGGTTGATGACTGGATTTAGAAATTTTAACGTATCTTTCCAGCCGGCTCAAAAAATCGAAATACTTTAAAGCAGACAAGCCAAAAATTGATATGTTTTTGTTACCGCAATTTTACAATATCTTAAAGAATAATATGTACTGGTTAACAAATATAGAGATAAATAATTAAACATATAGACTGCATTCATTCGGTGTAAAAAGATCATGTATCGTTATAATATACTAGAAAACCATTCTTTACCAAACAATTTTTTTGAGATGGCATGGTGGAACGGGGCACAGTGGAGAATTATGGGGGGGGNTGATTCTATTTCATAAACCTCTTATTTATGTCAAATAAGGCTTGGTCGCTTAAGAATTTTATTTTGAGAGAAGTCTCTAAGCTGTTTAAATGTTATGTTTTAGTTAAGAAGTTCGCCCAAAACTCTTAAAATAGGGTTTTTCAACACGCTACTCTGACTACATTAAGGTTTCTTTTCTCTTTGGCTGTTAGAATCTTTTTATATATTTAGATTATCCCGAAACCCCTATGCTTTTGCTATAAAATATATGATAAAAGCACGCTGTAACAAAGACGACATCTGAATATATTGCGAGTTTACAGGATCCATTCAAGGATAAATATATGAACGGGAAAAGTAATTATAAATTGAAATCATTATAAATCAATGCTAGCTACAATTCATACCATGTTTGTAAATAAAAAGATTTTCAGAATATAATCTTTTTGTCCATTCTCACCATGAAACACTAGACAAATACATTTTAAGAGGAGTATTGTGACAAAAACCAGTCACCCTCCCAAGGACCCCCTAAAATATAACAACATTATTTAGATAAATACCTCTACAGTCTACAGGGGGGGGGCATTTATTTTTAGATTTTCTGCATTATGTATTAAAAAAAGAAACAAATCTGTGAGTGTAACATCTTATTTAATACAACGGATAATTAATCTCAACTTTAGTTATTTATATTATTAGCATATTCATATATAAAACATGAAATCTTAATCGTTATTTGGAAATTGATGAAAATTTCATTTAATAAAAATACATTTCAAGAACTTTTCATGTTTGTTTCATATACATTTAAATATTTCACTAAGCAGAGGTTTAAAGTTTAAACTACGTACATTCTTGGCATATACCCATGTATATAAAACAAATTTAGATTATATATTAGAGATTACAGGATATATAATATTTCCATCTAATATATTGTAAATCAAATAACACTTTAGGAAACTGAGTACTTGATTTAAACTCCAATTTTCTAATTTTGATTTCATTACAACCAGACTGAAACTAAATTCGAAACCTATGATATTTTAGTCTTTAGCTTTAATATTATCTATACATAAATTTAGCTTGTCTGTCTGTTTTTTGTCTATTTGTTTATATACAAAAAACGTCAAAACGGCTGAACCGATCGGACCCAAATTTTGTGTGGGACCTCACGTGACCCCGGGGAAGGTTTATGAATGATCAAAATCCCTTTTTTCAAGTTCAGTGTTCACCCCCCTTAGAAAATTGGAAAAGTCTGACCTGCCCGTGCTCGCCACATCCCCTCTCTCCACAGCCAGCAGAAACTTCTTCTCTTCAAAAGTAAGAATCCCCATTTCCTAGAAATATTTTCCATCAACAGTTTTTTTTGCAACCTGATAGCAATTTTACTTTTTTTCAGTAATACCATTAAAACCTCATGAGATTTAAAATTGATTCTGAAAAAAATTTAACAACAAAACTTAATCATTCTGTCATTCAGTAGTTTGTCATTCAGGAGTTCGTCATTTAGGAGTTTGTCATTCAGTATTTCGTCATTCAGGAGTTTATCATTCAGAAATTTGTCATTCAGAAAGTTGTCATTCAATTGTTTTTCTCAGTTTGTCATTCAGAAGTTTATCATTCAAGAGTTTGTTATTCAGAAGTCTGTCATTCAGGAGTCTGCCATTCAGGAGTTTGTCGTTCAGGAGTGAACTATAATACATTACATTCTTGTATACTGTATTTTATATATATAAATATTCCATACTGGTTCCCAATAATAAAAAAATATGTTCTCTCATAATTTTCATTTTTCATTTCTGTAGAGCTAGTAGTTTTAGTTTTTGTAGAGCTAATAGTTTTAGTTTATCAAAAAATATTTTTTTTCATGATTTCTAAAGTATTTTGATGTCAAGCATGGTTGCATCACAGAAATATATTTTAAATGAACTGAACAGATGAAAAAAACTGATTAATTATTTTGACTTTGATAATGAGATAAAAGATAGATATAAATCATAATATCAATTCAGCCGCATTTATCAATTAATAGATATATACTGCAAATGGGAATAGTAATTATTAAAAAAAAACAATATATCTATCAGAATGTATTTTTTCAAATAAATCGTCTAACACTTTTATTTTGGTATTAAACTTAACCTGATTCTTACTTCAATCTCAATCCTAATCTCAAACTTAAAATTATATATTTTGTATTTTAATCTTTATCTATTTTCGTGCACTTAAAAAGTTTATACATAATAATTATTTATAACACTTTTATTTGGGTTCGCAGTGTTATAAAGTTTTTGGACAGACAATTTCTCTTTATCGAGCTTTATCGAACCTTCAAGAACTAGAGAAAATTTAAGTCCAAAATCTTTATAGCACGTCGTGCCAAAGTAATGGTGTTATAGGTAATTTTATGAAACGTTTGTGTACTTGTCTTATTTCAATGTTTGTGTAGTTGTCTTATTTCAATGTTTGTGTACTTGTCTTATTTCAGTGTTTGTGTACTTGTCTTATTTCAATGTTTGTGTACTTGTCTTATTTCAAT